ATTTTTTCCAGAAGTTTTGCAAATCGGTATTTAAATACAGAAAAAAAAAAAAGTCATCCTTAATTAAATGCACTGGAATGTCTGTCAGTTATTTCCTTTAAATTATCTCCAGAAGCAGTGCCTGGTATGTACTTGATCCTGTTGTCTTTTGCAGAATACTTTGAAGATACCAGTAAGGGCTCYAGTTTCATACATAAAGAAGGGGGCAAATTTGTTCTGACCCCTTGTTGCCAACGAATTTAAAATTAAATGAATGGAGAAGAAGAATTCTCCATCCAGGCAGAGGAATATTATCTCTGGGTATATCTGTCTGCAGAATTTGACTACAGTAGCCAGGACAGTCTTCTCTTCCCTTTCCAGTCACTGCCCTCATATTGCTCTACTGCCAGAAAGCAAATTCGTGATAAACACAASAACTGAAACAGTCTTTTAGGCTATTCACTTTTGTGATGTCAGATTGTCAGATGATAAGATGCTATCAATCTGAATTATACCATCGATCTAAATGAAATCCATTAGTATATCTTGAGCAAAATCAGCACACAGTTAGGGAATCTTGGCCATCCTCTCTAAAAWAAAATGCACACCGTTTAGAAACAACCAAATTTCAGCTTTAGCACCCAGTGCAGAGCAGCACAACCCCTTTGTAGCAGCACTTCGTTCACAGAGACCCAGCTGAGTGAGAGTTTTGTTGTAATGAGGTGATCTGGGCTTCTTCAATTGTATCAACAACTACTTATAGTGCTAACAGTAATAACTTACTTTTGTACTAAAAGCACGGTTGTCAAATGTCCAAATTAAATTAAAAACAAGCAGAGACAGCGAGAATTAATAGCAATAATCCATAGAAATGAATAGGTTTCTAATAAACCAAATTAAAAATATGTAACACTGGTGCAAACACTTTTTATGTTACAAATTTGATTCTATGCTGCCGGCCAAGTCAATAAAGCCAAGGGGAGCGCAAGATTTAATATTCTGTCGCAGAAACACTATGCAAGAGGAAAGTGCATCCAATTTCCCCACCAAACTCTATGATAGTTCAAATTCGGGCACGCCTTAAAGTGGATCCATTAACTAAAATCCAGTATTTGAAAATGCAAGGTTTTCTTTTGGAGTAGCCCTAAACCCAAAATCTTCCCCRTGTGCCGCCGCCGGGTAAGTAGGGTCTAGAGTCCCCCATGGCCCGGCTCGGTGCCGACGCTGTGCGGGACAGGATGCTCCCGCACCTGATACTCTGAGTCTTCTTGAGCAGTTTGTCTTTCCAGAAAAAGCACGTTTCCCTTCCTCACCAAATCACTCTGCCTTTATGAAAATAGAAAYTAAAAGGTGGGATAGAATATGTTAATTTGATGTGGCTACCACCTAGACATATTTTTCACCCTCTCCGACTCCCTGAATAGTAAAACTTTTGGTTTTTCTGATTCTCGGGAGTTGATTTCGTTGCTGTGCCGTCGTGGGTTGTTTCGCTGATGACTGCACCGGGACATTTCCACAGTCCTATSCCAAGTGCCCCTGGCCAGAGGATGGCGGGCATTTGTCCGGTGCGGAGGGTGAGTAGCGAGCGCATCCAGCGCGCCCTGAGGCAGCGCGGACCCCCGCCCGCCGAGCGCATTCACTGCCCGCCGCCGGGACGGGACGGGACGGGACGGGATGGCCCCGCCGCTCTCCACCGGCTCAGACGGAAAGTGTACGGGCGGGTGTCCTCCCACGTGGCTGCGCCCACGAGTGACAATTTCCACGTACCGCTGTGCTATGCCTTTTTCCTTCTTTCTTTCCTTCCCTCTTTCTCTCTTTCCTCTCCTTTTTCTCTTTCTTTTATTTTCTTTCTTTCTTTTATTTTCTTTCTTTCTTTTATTTTCTTTCTTTCTTTTATTTTCTTTCTTTCTTTCTTTCTTTCTTTCTTTCTTTCTTTCTTTCTTTCTTTCTTTCTTTCTTTCTTTCTTTCTTTCTTTCTTTCTTTCTTTCTTT